AAGCCATAAAAACTTGAGAGCGCTATGTGTGTTACATACACAACCAAGGAGGTAACGTTCTCCTTGTGTTTGTCATCGAATCAGTTCGAAAGAATGTTGGCGCTTTCTCGTCGTCATTGTCGTTATTCTCCTTTGCAAACTAATATTCGATATAATAATAATAATAATAATAATAATACAAAATTCTTCCGATCGATAATCATTCATTTTTTATCGATTTATTTAAAATTTAAAAAGTCATCCTAAGTTTGGAATCAAATTTAATATATCGAACATATTAAAATATTTAAATTAATCTCAAACACACGATAACAAAATTACAATTGTATTATTGTCAAAATCAATACTAAATGATATTTTTTTATAATTTCTTTTGTTACACAGGATATATCATAAGTTCTTATATGATATTTTGAAACGTTTGTGCGAAAATGTTTATTTTAATTCGTAAGAGTCTTGTATATGTTAATAATAAATCCAATTTAATTATATATAAAATGTTCAACACAAAAAAAAAAGTATATTAATTTATTATTAAAAATTATTTAAAGAACTTTCGACGCTATACACTGTATAAATTTGTAATAATATTTTAATATACATCAAGTAGTTGTTTATGTTAATCCTGTCTTGTCATAAATAAAATGTATCTAAATTATTACACCATATCGTTTAATAATATATTTTAATAAAACACGTATCGCATTTAATTCAAATTAAGCCACACATTTGTGATATTTATGAGAGAAAAAATAAAAAAATGGAAAGAGAAATAAAATTTCTCTCGACAAAATCTATTCACAATTTAATTGTAAATTACAACGAGTAAAATATGTTTAATGGGCGGGGTGGGGGTGGGGTGGGGCGTGTTTGGGTGGGGGAACGAGTCAGTCGACAATGTTATCTAAAGACGATCATTCGCAATGATGATTTAAATTTTTGCATACATTTCCAAGAAGAGATCCCACCACCCCCCGGCCGCCCTCTACTCTTCCCACCCCTTTTTTTACCTAGTTTTTTATTCTTCTCTTTTGTTTCTTTTTTTTCTTCTTCTTCATCTTCTCTATTATATATTGTTTTATAAAAGTAACGTTAATTAAGTTAACGATTTAATCACTTAATTTTCCCCCCTACTAATCACGGTTAACAAGCACGTTTTCAATTTAACGAGCCAACCAATGCGGAAATGGCGTGTTGGCATGATGGCGAACCATAGATGCAGATGCGACTTCGTTGCTGCGAAAGTGGTTGCACTTTGAAATTTTCTACGTAATGTTGTTGTTTCTGAGCTAGCATACAAAGGTCTAAGAAAATCCTTCCGTTTCGCGCGCTTCGTTTAACTTGGAAATTTGTATTATTTTTCTTTCATTTGTTTATTTCATTGTAATTAAATTTGATCTTTCGTATTATCGTTTAAATCTTATCGAATAGGTAACAAATCATTACTCGTGTACGTACCATAATAATTTAATAATATTACCATCTTGAGAAATGTATATTTATTGTAAAATGATTATTCTTCTTTTTTTCATTTTTTTTTTTATTCATTTTATATATTATATTATTGTTTATATGAATTATAATAAAGTTTGAAAGATTTTCCTTATTGTTACAAATTTATTATTAGATAGATAATAAATTATAACTCGTATGTGTACAATAATTAATTAACTAATTAATAAGTGAATTTTAAAACGAATGATAATAACCAATTAATTTCGTTTATTGCTGATTTTATTTATCATAAATTAGTGTCTTTGAAAAATGATTAATAATTTAAATCTCTCGCGCGTAATTTTTTTTTTTTTCAATCATCGTATCGTACGTTATGTATAAATAAATTTTTTCTTCGTATTTTTATTATGTTCTTTTTTTTATTGAAAAGAACGATTATATTATGTTCATTGTAATGAATTACTATTTTCCTGGTATATTAATTTCCTTATAAAAAATCTAATTTGTTGATTTATATAACAATAAAATAAAAAATCAATAAATTATGATACAAACGAAATGACTTTTTCATTTCTATTCCAATTGAATTAATCTAAAAAATATAAATAATTATTGAAATAATTTACAAATAAATTCTTGAATTCAATTAAAATCATCGACATAACACACACAAAAATAAAATGTTAACTATTCAATCCTATTACGAATCTCTTTTATCCATCCGCGGACACGCATGCATTCACGTACGTATGTATGTATCTGTGTGTCCGTGTGTGAATATTTTAAATCTTTCAAACCACATTTTGCGGTTAAAATATTATTATAAATATCTTTTATATAGAGAGAAATATACACACACACACAGATGCACCCACACGTATGATATACCAACACGACCTTCCGATTCGATATGACCTTGACCCTTTCGTCACGCTTTCTCGACGTCTTACGATCCTCCGACGTTTCTCGAAGGAAATGAAATTACTGACGTTGAAAACATCTTACCGACGTTCTACTCAATGCATTTGTTTTCTTTCTTAAAGATCATCAGAAATGATCATTGAAGAGACTCAACCTTAGGATTAATGTCCGAAGAAATTCTATGGTTCTATGTAACGTGACTTTGTGAAAGGTTTAAATCGTGCTCACGTCTTCCTTTCAACTATTATTACGAACTTTTCAGGGTTTTCTTATTAATATGTATCTGTATGTGTATATATATATGTAAGTAAGATTGTATATACGTGTGGAAGTGTTTGTGTGTGTGTCTGTGTGTGAATGTGATCACGTACAATTTAAGAGGGAAACTACTATGTTTTCTTACGGAAGTACACACGATCGACTCTCATTCGATGGTTGCATAAGATACGATTAATCTTTACATTTGTATATCAATTTGTATACTTATTAATCATTTTGTTTCTTTTATTTTTTCCTTTTATTACAAGATAATTTCATTTTTTATTATTATCTTAAATAAGTCGAATATATATATATATATGTGTTGTACGAATAACCTTTATTCGTATATCTATGATTTATGTGATTTTACACATTCATTATATTAATGGTTAAGTATTTTTTTGTTTAAAAAAATAATTCTTATCCTAAGAAAAAAAAAATAAAGATAAGGAAAATCGTATTTTGTATAATGTGCATAATTTATATGTCGTATATCATTAAATAATTGAGAACGAATTAGTAAAAAATATTATTAATTATTCATACGATTTAAATACTTTTTTTCTTTTCTTTGTTATTTTTATTTTTTATTGAAATAATCATTTATCATATCCGATCGTCTCTGATAAAATAATTTCATTTAATAGAATCTATCAAATATTATCATTTATTCTAACAAATTATTAAACGAAAAGAAAAAAAAAAGATAGAAAAAAAATCATAAATATCGAAAGAATAATTATTGAAATAATACAAAATAATATCTTTTGTACATAACGTACATAATATTAGTATTAACATATGTAATAATTAATAATAAATAAAATTAATAATAAAAAAAAAAGTTATAATAATGAATAAAAAAGAAACAAAGGGGATCGAGAGATAATATTTATTTATTCTCGATTCGTACGAATCGTTTCTTTTTATTCTTTTTGTTTTTTTTCTTTTTTTTTTTTTTTCTATTTCTTTCTTTTTATTTTCAAGAACAATCGATAAAAGATGAAGAAAGAAAGGAAGGAAGGAAGGAAAAACGATTTGCACTTAACGAGTCAGTTTGTGGAGTCGTCTCGCGTGTTGCTCGCCGATATAAAAGTTGCTTCCTAGTTCGTGAGTACTCGGAAATAAATATCTACGATATTTTTCTTCGATTATAGGTACCTACAATTCGAATCGTTTGACTTTGTGTGTATACCGTTTATATATATATTTCTCTCTGTTAAAACGCATACACGTTAAAAACGTACACACGTATTAAAACGTCTACTGTTATATGTCTATAAATAATATTAATTATTTGGATATATCAAGAACATTAAAATGAACAAAATGAAAATAATAAAATCATACACATATGTAATAATAAAATTGCAAATAATTTCAACGCTGATAAATTAGATTAACGATTGACCCGTAAAAAACGCGTATCACATTGTGAGAATAAATATAAATTGCATTTAAAAAATATTTATAATTAGATTTTATATTTTGATTTATATTCGATAAAAAAAAGAAAAATAAACTTATTCTCTAACGAATATAACTTGGAAAAGTTATTCGATATAAATGTAAAAGCGTGTACGTTGTACGCCTACGTAGGATTCAAGTTGCTTGTCCATGGAGAAAGTTCGCGTACTAGCCTATAACGTTATATACAAACACATACACGCATGTATACATACATGTTACGTTACGTATGTTTGTATATATACACACACATCTTTATAAATATATATATATATATAAACCATTCTTAAATGTGATATTAATATTTTTAAAAGAAATGAAAAATATTTTTCGTTTGATTGATTATAGGAAAATTAATTGCAACAAATGAACACGTGCATCTGTTTGTTGTTTCAACGAGTGAAATGAAGTTAAAGAGAGAAAAAGACGAGTCAAACGCAATCGTATAAGAAATTCCAATGAGAAATCTTACGCGTGAAACGTGATGGGAATTATGAGAAGATAAAAAAAAAAAAAAAAGAAAAAAGAAAAAAAGAAAAAAAAAGAAAAGAAAAAAATAAGAAATATAAATAGGAATGTTTGTATGGTTATAAAATTTGGACTATAGTATTACAGTTACCACATATAGAGGAAAAGAAAGAAAGAGAAAGAGAGAGAGAGAAATGTTCGACTATCGATTACCTCATCGATTTTCTACACTCCTTTAACTCCTATAAGTTTAATATCAATAAAACAATTTGTTAGAGGAATATTAGAAAACGGGAGAAAGAAAAAGAAAGAAAAGTTAATAGAAAATGAAAAATTAAGTGTAACAAAATATCGGTGTTGTTTGTATATCTTTTTTTTTTTTCTTTTTTTTTTCCCCGAAACAGATTATAGATCCACTACTCACTCACATTTTCGAAAACGTTCCTTCATATCACACTGCTGTGCTCCCTTTTGTTATATTATTTTCTCTCTTCATCGATCCATCGTGTAATCACAACAAACGCGTTTAACTTTTTTGGAGGGAGAGAAAACAAAAAAAAATAATTCTACGATACAAATAAACCGGGCCGGAAAAAAATAAAGTTACCTTGTATCGTCAATTTATTTATTTCAATTGAAATATTTATCTCGAAACGAATTTATAATATTGCCACGTAATTAATATATCGATTAAAATATAACATTATCGAATAGAATTGAATGATGATAATAATAATACAAAAAAAAGAAATTAGATTCCTTCTATCGATAATTATTTACTCGATTTATATTCGATGATTTGTTTGTCTAATTTTAATCTCTTTCTTTCTCTCTCTCTCTCTCTTTTATAATTCGGTATTATTATTTTCTCGAATAGCGTGTAATAGAAAAAAAAAAAGAGAAAAATTCTTGTCTTCCTCTATTCGAGAAGCACAAACCGATCCGAGGCGAAAGAAAACGTGGCCGGGCTTTGAGAACGCTAAAGAGACGGAAACGTTTCGCACGGTGAGAGGCCGATACTCGACTGCACGTCGAATGTTCAACCAACGGATTCCACTTGCTCCGGAATATTTTGCCCACCACACTGTTGTTAGTTTCCAGGTAGGTAGGTAGGTAGGTAGGTAGGTTGGTAGGTAGGTAGATTGGTTGATAGGTTGTTAGATAGCACCCATTTCTATCTGCCTCATCGGCTGACGTTAATCCAATATAAATATCGCTTCTAGTTACAAGTTTTCATTTGCTTATATTATATTTATATAACATATTATCAATTAAAATTTCATTTAAACATTTCATCGTTATAAATGATATATTATTATTATTTATCCATTGACACACACGATCCAAAATTAACATTTAATATGAACTGTTGCCTTTTTTCTTGCCTTTTTTCTTTTCTTTATATCCATGCATGTATTGTAATATAATCAAAATTGAAATGTTATACATAACTATTTATTATTTCTTTATTAACGAGTTCTAACATAAAACGTAGTATTGAATAGTTTATTTATATATATATATATATATATATAGTAAATTTTGTAAAGAAAAAATAACTTGAATTTATGATGAAACGACATAAATGTTGTTTAATTAGATTAAATATTGTTTAATTATTTACTAGCACGATCCCCCCACAAAATCAATATCAATTATCAACCGCTTTTTTTCTTTTTTTACGTATAAAACAAAATACTTACAATAATCTTAAACTGACGTAATTATTAATTAATACAATCCAACATTAACAACAATTTTTTTCGATATACATTTTTTAATAGAAACAAAATCCAAGGTTATTTTTTAATATATACTTTCCATACGTTTACCATTTGTCTATTTATTTAACCAAGTATGAATATCAATTATAAACCGTTTTACATAAATGAGTGTTTGTTAATTTTTTTAATAATAAAAAAAAAAATCCCCAAAAAATACAAACTGTTCGACTTGTCTTATCATAATTTAGATATTTTCTATTCATCGATTATTATTATTCTTATTATTAGAAGGGTATTCGATCGATTTACATACCAGTCCTGGTACAGTCGTAATAGTTTCTTGTTTATTTAATTTTATTTTTCTCCCATTTTTGCTGTCTGTCTTTTTATTATTTTTTTTTTTTTTTAATTTTTTTTTTGTCACCTCGCACAAATGCCGTATGTTTTTTTTTTTTTTCACGATCTAGTTTATCGGTCAGTGTCGAGACAGATTCTTTCTTATATAAGTACAAATCTTATTATATAATATCAGTGTGTGTGTATGTAATTATATTTAAAAAGAAGAAAAAATAAGATTAATAAATTGAACATTAATTCGTCAAATTAAAAAACAATCGTCACGTTAATTTCTATTGTCTGAAGAAAGAAGTTCAAATAAAAATGATAAAAAATGAATAATTTTCATTATCGACATATATACGCATAAATATGCTAAATTATTAACCATATACTATATAATAAAAAATAACTAATAAGTATGAGATATATATTTGTCTTTCTGTTAGGATCATTTCGAGTGATAATTCAAACGTCCTTCGATTCCCGAACAATTTTTTATTTGTTTTTACTCGTCCAAAGTATGTGTTAATCGTTTTGAAAAAAACCGATCGTTGAGAAATAATCCGCAATCATATGTTAACATTCTTTACGATTAGTTTTATTTATTATTTACATTACTGAGGAATGTTTAATTAAATGTTTCGTAAGTTTCTCTTCTTTTCATTTATAATGGAGGGAGAAAAATAAAGAGAGAGAGAGAGAGAGAGAGAGAGAGAGAGAGAAAGGGGGAGAAAAGAAAAAGTATGAAGAGAGTCATGATCGCAAATGATTGGATTAATAGTCTTCGATTTACCGGTCACGCATGAAAGCGATTGCCAAGGTGAAAGATACACATGTGCATAATAACAGTGAAAGGATTGGATTTATGCATTTGAGTTTTGTCCCACCGATCATTCAGCGAAACTAACTTTGTTATAACTACTTGATAGAAAATATAATTTTATACAGAGTGTCTCAATTTGATTCCATTTTAAAAAGTAATAACAAATTCTATGATAACAATAAGATTATAAATGTATTTAATACATAGGGTTTTTTTTTTTTTAAAATGTTCCATTACAAAATAATAAATGAATGGATTATTGTTAAATAACGTTAGTAGTTTCGTTACATTTTAATAAAGGAAAATACAAATTGTTGCGCATAATTAAATAAACATACAGCCAGCCCACGTTTCTATGAAGAATAAAATAAGTAATCAGTCATTTATTATTATTATTTTTTGTACTTTTTAACAATATAATCATTTTTTCTTTTTTATTTAATAAACTATTTACACAATTTTTTATATTTTTCTATATATTATTTTAATTATTTATTATTTGATCTCGTTTATAAAAATGAAACACCTCTTATATACACACAAATCATAATATATTTATAGAAATTAAAAGAGAAATGAGGAGGAAGAAGAAGAAGAAGAAAAAGAATGAGATGATACCTAAAAAATAAAATGATGAGGGTTCTTTGACAGCATATAGATATATAGATAATATATTCGAGAAATAAATTAAACTTGGCGAGAATGAATTCTAATCGAACGAATACGAAAGTTGATTATTCATCTTATTGTCATTCTAATTTTCTTATTTGTTTATTTATTTGCCTATAAATTCATATGTAATATTGAAGAAATTGTTCACGTGGAAACCGTATTGGTGTTGGTGTTGCCACAATTTTTGGTCGTTAATAGCTTCGATTCGTTAGCTAAGAGCGTTTTCGTTTTATCCGGACAAACTGTGATACTAAAAAACAAAAAGAAAAAAAGGGAAATGTATAAAAAAATATATTTAATTAAATTACCGACGAGGCTTAAAATATAATGCTTACGATTAATTATATTTCTTTTTAAAAATAACATTTTTCCTACCGAGTATTATATTGTAGAATATTTTTTTTATATCGTGTAATTATTTTATACACAATATTGAAATAAATTTGATTGTAAACTTGGAAGAAATAATAATATAAAAAAGAAAAAAAAAAAAAGAAAAAAACTATTGATCGTAAAATTAATTGAAAATATTTCAATAAAGTTTATACCTGTTATTAAATTCGAGACTATCGATCGTCAATGAATCGATATAAGCACGAGGTGTATGTAGAAATCTCCAAGTTAAAGGATTGAACATTGAAGTTTGATATTCCCACGTAATCTCAACAGCATCCGGTTTGCCAACAACCTCGCCAGGTAAAACAACCGTGTGTACGCTACCAGGCTCGTAATATTTCGAATTTTGATTGAGTTTCATCTTCTCTGTTTGTTTTCCATTAGTGCTTATCACTTTAATGGTAAACGTACCTACTTCTCCGCCATAACTTATGCTTTCGTTAGTTTTCGAAATATTTATTGTTATTCGATAATGTGCCTCTGAAAAAATATTTCAATATTCTTATATATATAATAAAATGTTAATAGATTTTTGAAATGATTGATAATCAAATTCTATACGTGTTATATTAATTATTTCATTGTAAACAAAATTGTTTGACCCCTGAGGTATTATAATTTAAAACAAAATTAGGCTAATATAAATAGGTTTCAAGAAAAAGAGTTCATGATTGTAACATGATCATCTAGGAACTTTGTTTAACATATATATATATATATATATATATAAATAATATAATGTTGTAAAATAATTGAAAATAAATACAATTTACTTAAGATAAATAAAAGGCTTACTACAAAATGGTTTATCCGAGCCTGTCATAAAGTAAACAGAAGCATGATAATTTCCTGGTTGCGCATCCAAACCAAATTTAGGACAATATTGATTGATGCAATCGAAACATTTACCCTCTTGAAATTTATTCCATGACGAACAGGGTGATGCTATGAAAGGGCAACGAGTGTTGATGCTTTCGACGAAGTACTCGTAACTACGAATATGATTGCATCCTAGGAACCTTTTGATACCTTTATATACAAAAAAAAATACATTACAATTATTATACATTAAAAATATTAATAATAAAAATAATCACTTCTTACGTAATAGTCATAATCATATATATATATATATATATATTAATATAACAAATAATTCAATTGAATAAATTAGTTATAAGTATGTTAGATATATCTAAAAGATTTTTGTTAATCTTTACTTACGTATTATAAATCAAATATAAAACGAGAAAAAAAAAGCTATATAAATTTGATAAATCTACGAAATATAACGAAATATAACGTATATAACGAATGAAAATATTTTTTCTACAAAATAATAATATGGTTATTACAAATGAGAATGATTAGAGCTTATATATATATATATTCCTATATATAGTATTATGAATTAGTATAACTAACCACGAAAGAAACTACCACGTTCCAAGGTTATAGAATTGAGTACACCCTCGTTGCAACCAGGTTGATTGCGACCACCATTTGGATAGAAGTCAATATGGCCAACTGGTTGCGTAATACCAAGGCCACCACTGATAAATGGATTACAATCGGTGTGAATTGCTGTCACGAACATTGCGTCGGTTGGATCGAGTCTTACCATAGGCGAGGTATTACTAAAGTGTGGTTCTGCTGGGTCGAGGCCTTAAATACAACGTAAAACAAACATTTATCAGTAATGTTGTTCTTATGAATTCTCAAAGAACGCAGTATTATCTTAATGGAACGTAAAAATAACATATACAAAAATAAAACACTCTAAAAAGTGACGTAAATTAAGAAAGTTCTTTTAATTGTTTGTAATAAATGAAAAACTTAGTGTTTGTATTAATTTACGTTTAGGTGTAAATAATAATTCTAGGACGGTTGATTAATAATTTTGACATTTTATTATTTTTTTTTGTTTACTTTTCTTTTTTCTTTTCCTTCTTCTCTCTTTCACAACTTTCTCTCGTAAAGCGTTGGTTTAGAATTGCACGTTAATTAATTAACCTATCGTCGTTAACTATTTCTGCGAATTTCTTTTCTTTTTCCTTTTTCTTTTTTCTCAGCTGACAACGAAGATAGTATCGCGTAAAAGTGTTACAAGATATTTGGCTATATGTATGTATGTATGTGTGTGTGTGTGTGTGTGTTTGTGTATGTCTTTTGTCGCAACCTCATCGTATCCGGACTACAAAATGCTTTATTTACATCTGACATTACGCAAAGAAGGAAATGTGTTTTATTTTTCGTTGAACGTGTAAAATAAATTTCGAATGTGTTTTGTAAAAAAAAAAAAAAAAAAGAAGAAGAAGAAGAAAAAAGAAAATAACACGTTTTCTAATTTACAAAAAAAAAACAAGGAAAAGAAAATGATCGCGTAAAAATATTATTGAGAAAATAAATGTGAGAGTTCTTCAATGATACTTTTTCGTCAAGGATAAAATTCGTAAAAAAGGAAGGAATCAACCTTGAGTACTTTCTACTATCCTGTTAGTTCCTGATGGGATCGATAGCTTATGTAACAATAAACCTAGACATATTTGTTTTCTCCATGACGAACGGAGAAGGAAGAAGGAAGAAGGAAGAGGATCGATCATCATTGATCACAATCGGTTTATATTACCATATTATAATAAATGTTAAATTATTAAGAGACTCCATTCTATTTTCTTCATCCTTTAAATAATATATTCTCTTAGGCAAGAAACGAAAAAGCATACATAATTTCTTCACGACTAGATTTGTTATTTTATACGTTATACAATCTCTTGCAAGATTTACATAAATTGCAAATCATTTTTATATATTTAAAAAAAAAAACGTACAAGGATATACGTAAATGAGAGAAGATAATATAAATTTTAAGAGTTAAAAATAACAATAAAAAATTATTTATTCGTAAGGAATTATTTTTATTTTCGCGTGTTAAATTTGTCAAATGATACTCGAACGACGTGGGTTTGATCTTTGACTCGAGAAATGATGCGCTTTCTATCGTTTATTATATATTCTAAAAATGTAGTTGGTGGAAAGAATGAGAGAGAGAGAGAGAGAGAGAGAGAGAGAGAGGGAAAAAGAGAATGAATATAAAACGTTAGAGGTAAAAGCTTCTCTTCTTTCATAGATGTTACCCTGATCGGTTGGGTTTCGATCGGCCATCTTCGTATGTTTCCGGAGTGTCGGTGGAACCACGTGTATACGAAGAGATGAAGGATACAGGTTCGGGATCTTTCGTGTTACGCACGAACGAACGAACGAACGTACGAACGAAGCATACAATAAGTAAATACGATATGAGTAGTGGGATTTAAGTGAGTCGTTGACTTCGAAAAGAAAGAGATGGGAAAAAGTGTGCGTCAAAGATGGCGGACTTGTATCGAAACAAAAGAAAGATCAAAAGAGCATACACCTGTATTTAGTTCTACGCGGAAAAAAAACTACGTATTAAATAAAAGTCATGTAATGATTGATTTATAAATAATATTTCATTTATATTCAATTCACAATGGAAATTATTCGAATATAAGGTATTGAGAAAAATGAAAAAGAAATAAATTAGAAAAGAAACGAATACTATTTGCGATTATGAATATAGTACACGCATTTTTGGAAATTTGTACAAAATATTAATTGAAATGTATTAATAAATAAATAATAGATCGTGCAAAAAGAAATCAAGATTATAATTTTTGTTGATATTAGCTATGGTGAACATGTGGGGTCATGTGTTTCAATAATTGGTAAACTAGATTTTAGGTTATAACAAAGAAAAATAAAATGGGATTGCAAAAGCAGGCTTTTCAGCGAAAGCGAGATATTCTGAAAATTACAACTAATCAGCAACAAAATGTCTAAACTTTTTCAAGATATAGACAATCTTGAAGATGTTGAAGATTCTGACATCGATGATTACTTTATAAGTGAACTAGACAATAATGAACTTAGTACAGATGAAGAAACAAAAGATTATCATGATAATTCTGAATCAGACAGAGATCTAATAAAAACTTTTTTCTCATCTGATGAAAATAGTGAATTAGAATTTGGTTCTTTATCTGAAGATGATGATGATGATAATGATGATGATGATGAAAATGATGATGAAGATGATGAAGAAGAAGAAAATAGTTATGATAGTGGAAAAAATGAGGAAAATATTTATAATACTGATGATGAAAAAAAAAAAAAGAAGAAAAAAAACTAACAAATAATGATATAAACAAAATTAAAAGTATAAGTAAGATGAAGGAGATTAAAATAAAGTTAAGTCCTAAAGGGAAGAATAAATTAGAAAATAATTCTAATAAATTACATAAGATCCAAACGAAAGAAAATTTCATTTCTACGAAATCTTTAAAACGTGAGATTATAATTTTTGTTCGTCGTGTCAAATTCAAATTTACTGCTTTTATTTTCTTACCAGTTATCCTTCCCAAAGTATGATGATAACGTAATCTTAATGTGTAACCAGCGTAACCAGCTGTATGAGCACCAAGACTGTGTCCAATCATGTGCATCTTCGCAGGTAAAATTTTACCAATATTTATTAATTGTGATGCTAATCGAGCTAACATGGCGCCAACCAATCTCGTATTAGCAACTGCTTGTGCATAGGGTGGACCAGCTCCGCCAATCCAATTTACTATTAAAACATTGCAATCTTCTCGTAATAATAATTCTTTCACCGTTCTCTACAAAATAATAAATTGAATTAAATTAAATAGATGTATAAAAATAAAGGAAGAAAAAAAAAAGAAATGATTGATTACTCACCATTACCCAGGTGTTATCACCGCTGTCTAAAAACCCATGAATTACAAAATAAAAATTGTTGTCAATTCGTAAGGGTGCATTCTCAATTGTTTCGAAATTATCGATCTTCAATTCGTAAGATTGATCTATATGTATAGTATCACGTGTGTATAGTAAATAATGTGGATCGATACTGTCTGGTCGTGTTGGGAACATCGAAACTGGACGATTTTCTCCTGACCATGGTGCACCGATGTAGAAACAACCATAAGGTTTGAAACACCTCCACATATACCATTCTAAATAATGAAACATACAAAATAAATTAAATTAATACCATTGAAATATAATATCTATAAAAGAAACTACGATGAATTAAATCATTTTTATATTTATCAATTCTAATCTTAATATTTTAAATGAACTAAAATAAAATACAAAAGAAAATGACTAAAAGAAAAGAAAAGAAAAATATAATATAAAAAGTAAACTAATTAATTAAATTTAATAAATTTGTAATTATATACGAAATAATTATCCTAATTTATTTCTCTATTACACAAAACTATATAAGAGAAAAAAGAAGGGGAAAAAAACGCCTGTAAGATATCGTAATTCTTAAAGAAAACGTACGACGGAATATCATTCAACCGGGGTTAGAAAAAAGATAAATGAGATGATGATAAATTATTATACATATACGTATGTACGCGTTTACCAAATTAATTTGTATATTAATTGTAATTAGTAGTAAAGATATTATAATAAATTGCATTATTTTTGATAACTGTTTATATTTATATTGCAATACATACACGCGTATTATCGCTGTTTTTTTTTTCGCTATACTTATTAACTAACACATATGCACGCGTACGTTAGTAGAGATATAAATATAAAATAAAAATTATTTTAAGGTATAACAGACACGTTCAGTCACTATTAATTATAAATTAAGATTCGAAGGAGACGGCCAACGTGATTGACCCACGAGAGGTTATCATTATTTTTATCAATATCTCTCTACGTCATTTTATCAGTTACTTCAACACAGTTATCCGTGTTTTGTCTATTCGTCACTTAATTAACTATATATTGTATATATTTATACATAAACGTGTTTTTGTTATTAGTTTAATAAAATATATCTGACTTAACAAATATTTTCTTGAAAAATTAACAATTTTATCTTATAACATGTATATCGTAATTAAAAACAATTAAAAACATATTTCAAGGTTCAGTTTGATATGATAAAAATTATGTGATAATATTTGAATTTATTTCGAACGAATTATACGAACGAATAGATTTTTCTCGATCTCTTTTTATGTTTACTTTGATAAATAGCAATCTTATTTTTCTAATATGTTTATTTTTATTTGAAATAACGATTAAAGACAATTTTTTTTTTAAATTAAGATTTTCATATAACAGACTGATTGATTTTATTAAATTACGAAAGAAAATCGATTCGTTTCCGTTTTTTCCATATCATCATTAATTTAGTCATTTCATTTTACATGTTTATTGTTATTAAAAACGTACAGTGTATTATTTTAATCTCACTTTAGAAATAAAATAGAATATTTTGTCGAAGTTGACAATATTATACGAATTTAATTTAATTAAATAATTATCTTACGTGAATTCAACAAGAACAATTTACTTACGATCTTCAAAATCAAATTTATTTTCTTCTTCTTCCGGAGAAAGCGTCGTGGTAGATTGATTAGAAAAATCATTAGAATCAACAATTGCAGTTGATTTATTCTGCGGAGGTAATCTAGACATAATATTGGCCGTATAAGTTAATACTAACAAAGTTTCGTTTAGAAACATTTTTATTTTATATTAAATATAAAACCGTTCTTCAAGTTGTGTAATACACTGAACAAACACCAAATTAACTAATAAATTGATCAATTAAATTCATTAACATATTCGAAACATTTGTTCACTTTACATCACTCGTGTTTCACTTGGAACAAATATGAGAATCACAATTCTTTCTTAATAGAGTATATATTAAGTTTTATTACGTTGAGTATAGTGAAAGGTCGAGAAACGATTTGTAATGAAAAATCGATTGACGTAAATTCCGATAAAGTCTACGAGAGACGCATGGATGTTGCGTTGATAAAAGAAACAAACAAACAATAAGGAAAAAGAAAAAAAGGAAAAAATATAACAGTTACAAGCACGCTATAAGAGAGTTCGGATTATATTTAAATAAATAATCGAACACAATCTGATTTATTTATTGTAATTACTTTTTATATCTAAAAAATAATCGATCTCGAACGATCGATCATTCTCGAGAAATCAAATTAATAAAAATTAATTGACGAACTAAAAAATAGATACCCCCGGATGAAAATTCAAATGTGTTCTTTTTTTTTTTCTTCTAATATTCTTTTTCTTATTTATAAATAAAAGAGGAAGAAAAAAATAGCAATGAAATAAAAGAAATAAAAGAATATAACGGTTACATGCACAGGCTTATATTTAAACCAAAACGGATTATATTAAACGAACGAGAACAAACAAAATAATAAATTAAATAAATTAATTAATTTTATGTTTCTTTTTAAATATATATATTGAATGGTTTAAAGTCCGACAGACGTCTCGACTGATCGAGAAACCGTAACTAACTGATAACTTGAAATTTCAGTTGCTTCGACTTTATTCCCTTGGTATGCCCCACTACTCATGTTACACTATTTTTTTTTTCCTTTTATTTTGTTTGACATTTTTTTTTTCCCTTCCTTCTTCTTCTTCTTATTCTCTTACTGTATGTTTATACACATGTGTACGCACGCATCCACCGCATATATCAGGAAAAATGATAAATAAAGAAGACTCGAGACAAACTCCGAGTGTTCGAAACTTGACTCGACATTTTAAATAAAATATTATTTTCGTGGAATCCAAGAGAGTATATTTCATCGACGTGAATGAGCTCAAAAGGGCCGCGGCCCTTTTCATTTTTACCCTCGTCGCATTCCTTTCGTGCAAGTAAGTTTAATTAATTCAGATTCTTCTAATTAAACCAATCAAAGATCTGACAGCAGGGTTACTTCAGTTGTTTTTATTTTTCTTTTTAATATATATATTTAAAAATAATATTAAAATTGTATTTTTTATTCATTATTATTATTATTATTATTCATAAGTTTTAGATAAATTTCGATATTATGATAAAGATGATCGAATTGTATATTCGAAATCGAATATTTTGACAAATGAAGATAACAACTTATCAAAAAATATAAATATTTTCTTCGATGATAATTATTTCAACGAAATATAAACGAAGCGCATGAGACTGTTGAGAAACGTAAATTAAAAAAATAAAAAAAAAAATAAACTCGTATGGTGAAAGAGAGAAGATGGAAGAAAGCCGATCGATATGCGGGTAAGGTTCTAACCTAACAAAAAGTAGTCGTCAGTAATCGATGAATGACACAATGGGGTGCCATTGAACACCGGTTTCAGTACTCAGCATCCCCATATGTTGCGAATCAATAACCAACCCTCTCTTACCCTCTTACCTTATCTCAAATGATCCTCTTCTATGAACGTAACAACCTAATACTTCGCACCCCTAACGTGTATCCACGATTCTACCAACGGGGGGTTGGTTGCTGGAATGAATTGAAACGGTGGGGTAGGTTGACTTGTTGGTTACAATAGGTGAACCGTACGGTTACTCTTAACTCCTCTGGATTTCTGTAGACTTGATAGGAGTATCGTAATAGTGTCGTATCGTGATTACTCGTTAAAATGTTGATTGACAGCTTGACAAGGTATTATTTTATATCTTTCTTTATTTTATCTATATATATGTATAAAAAACAAATAATTTATAATACGTTTGATTTACAATATCACGTATGTAGGGTTGTATAGAATCTAAAAGATTGTATAATCAACGGAAAAAAAAGATGAAAGAATAAATTGTTAAATGGGGTTATTATAAATGATTTTGAAAATAGTATCATAGTATTCGTTTAATTAAAAACTTCGCATCCATTTATACGATTGTGGTAAAGTCCTAATTCGATTGGTAATGAAAAGAAATCTCTGAGCAGTTTAACTTAGCGGTAACTACCACTACTACCACCATCACTACAACCACCACCACCACCACCATTTCTGTTGGTGCTGTTTTGTTCAACAGCTTTAAAAGGCCTATAAGACCCTTGAAAGACTCTTTGCGTTCTTTGTTAGCCTGTTACACTGCCCTATCCAGTCCCCATTCATTTACATGCGTATCCATGCAACTCGACCTCGCATGCAACTCTGCGATCTTCGATTCTATCGAGATATTTTTCTTTTTTCCCTGTTGAAAAGATTTACCTTGAAATACACGTTTTTATAACGAAAAAAAAAGAAAATATATTAAAACGTGTATTTAAAAATTCGAGCTAGAATTATTACTTTATGTTATAATATTCTTTTATATAATAAT